GTGGGGGAACTTGCACAATCGGTGGCTGACTAAATACTTTTTTGCCCCACTGTATGTGTGCATGTTCATGCATGCACGTCATTCTGTCTGTAAACAAAATAGCTCAAAACTTTTAAAATTAATTCCAATAAAACTTTGCAGAGATGTAAAGTTGGGTCATGCCAATGATCCATTAAAATTTGGCTTACATTCATCAAGGTCTTGAAGGTCAACTTAATGATTGATCTGTCAAAAACTGACAAAAAGCCTTATAAATGGGATTCTTACAAGTGTGGTGTGCAATGTCAACATATAGAATGTACTATTAAGATAAATACCTTTATTAGATAGATACCTTCATTAGTCCCACAAGGGGAAATTTCATGTTAAGGCTGCCGACCTATTGCACGCAATGGCGGCGCCATCTTACCCTCCGACCATACATACATTACACAAAAACATCACATGGGGAAGACAGGTCAGAGAGGTATAACAGAAGATTTACAATATGATGTCGTGTTTGACCTCTGACCTCTACTTCAAGATCAATAGATTAATCTGAAAGTCAAAGTGATATTGATGATATATAGAGCTATTTTAAACATATGCTTCTTATTGCCAGTGTTGTATATAGGCATATAGGGAATGCTGTTTAAGATTCTCATTATCACAGGGGAACACCCAGGCGTTTCCAGCGAAGGTGAGAAGTCTTGTTATGCTGCTGAAGTTGTGGCTGAAGTGTGAGTTGAAGATCTCACAGATAGGGGTCTCTGCCAGTATCCTCCTGTGCCACCTCACTACCACAGGTGGTTATCAATTGACAGCTCAGCTCCTCTCTTCACCAGAGTGTCCAAAACATAAAGCCTTAAATCTGATGATACAATTGCAAAATCGATCATTGACATGCAGCCTAGGGTGTTCTGGTGCTACTTGCTCTTATGGACATCCATATGTTCAAACATGGTGTTCATTATGGATAGACTGTGATTTGCACAGAAGTCCAATAACAGAACACTTGAGTTCAAATCATGCAGGCCTCACAGTCATACTCCTCAGGGTCTGACTGTCATTACCCACATAAGCACTGAAGTCTCCCAGAAGGATGACTGTTGGGTCTGGGCTTCCACAGGCCCCGCTGGTTTAGAAACTTATTCTCGTTAATGACAAAAACAAGACGAACATCTTTTACTTGCTAGCAAGGGAGGCCCTGGTCGGTTTCTCAGAAAAGCACTCTGAATCCAACCACAGACTGACCCCACCATAGGCCTCCGCTTGCCACCTTTTATTGAAAACAGTTACAGTACACACAAGCGCCTCCCATTGTAAAACCCCTCCAATGGTTACAAAAGACAAGGCACTATGTATGTATGTGTGTGCACGTGTAAGCACGTATGTGCATGTGTATGCATGTGCAAGTGTGTGTGTGTGTGTATGTGAGTATGTGTGTTTGTGTTTGGGGGTGCGTTTGTGTGACTGCCCTGCCCACAAAAGGATCATAAATGCAGGAAGTTTACTAAGCAACAAACAGAATCTTTAGATAGGATGTGCCTAGTAAAACACTTCAGCCTCCCCCACCAACAAACTGGCTGGAGAGGTGGTCAGAGACAAAGGAATGTCTTTGATCCTGCTGCTTGAACTAAGACTTACAAATTTAAGTAACACAATGACATTTAACAATTTGACTCCAACAATGACTGAGTCACAAGATAGAGTTCCCTCAAACACCCCTCGGATGGACACCAAGAAGAGTACTCAGAACTGTCATTTGGGGCATAAGTACACAGGACAGTAAGGACCTGTTCTCTGGCCTGAAGGTGCAGGGAAAAATAAACATGTGCAAGCTCCACCATACAGTATAGACAGCAGGCATACAATTATTGCCATCCCAGCCCACCTCCTCTCATCAAGGGAAACTCCAGACTCAAAAAGAATTCAAGCCCTCTCCAGAAGACTGGCTCCAGATCCAAAGTCACGCATTAAGATGAGCCCAACTATATCTAGCTGGTATCTCTAAACCTCCTGCACTAGCTCAAAGTACTTCCCTACCAGAGAGATGACGTCCATGTCCCAATCACCAGCCTTGATATACAGGGATTGGTCTGCCAAGGCCTTTGGCTTTAGTCTTTCCAACACACATTGCAGGAAGTGGACCTATCCGGTCTTTAAGTGATGATGTGATGAATCCTGCTATCAGGCCCAAACTACTCTGCATTTAATAAGGCTGTTTTGTATTTAACATATTTTAATGCTTTGTATCTTGTTCTATTTAATCTCAACAAGCCCCTAAAAACAGTCAGTGATCACTGTTGGCCTCTGTCGGTTTTTATTACCGCTAATCATTTTAAAACTCTGTTTTTAAAACCTTACAATGTAACTACAGCTCAGCCCATGTGGCAGTATATTAATGACTAACCTTGTATTGTGGATGGGTTATCTCATTTGTTCTCCTGACTGAAGTTTGGTCCGTTTACAGCATCCTGCCATGTGATTGCATTTGTCCCTAACGTTTGGGAACCCTCACGTTAACTTTTATAGAGTGGAAAAAAGTTAGCATTCATTTTCCAGCTTCACTGTTTATATTATGCTAACATAGTTGTGTCGCTAGCGATCACGTAGCACATCATTATATACCAGCTAGCCAACCTTCAGTGACCCTACAAATGTCACTGCTGTTTACTTTCCTGTCTTCATTTATGTTGGAAGTGATAGCAGAGCTGTAGGCCTACGTCTTAATTTGTTTTGGAAATCCCCAAATCAGAACATGGTATATTATATACCATACCATATTATATATGGAAACTAGCAAGCTAACTCCCTGATAACTTCTAACGCCATTAAATTTCCTAAATTTGGTTTTCATGGATGCCTGGATGTTAAACTGAATTGTTACACCTGATAGAGCAGCAGCGGTGATCATTTTATTACAGATGAAAAGATATAGACAGTTTTTAACTCTCAGTGATGCCACTGTGATCATGTGACTTAAGGACCTGCAGCGGAGTTTGGGCCCAGGCACAGCTAATGACGTCAGACTTAAACACCGGATAGGAGGCCGAGACTATGTCTGCTCTGTGGACTGCAGCCTGCCAGACACCATGGGCTAAGGCCCAGCCACAAGGTAATCTTCATTCAACCCATATGGAAAAGAAATAGTAAAAACATATATGATTTATATATGATTTATTCATGAAAGTGGCCACTTTCATGAGTAAATCATATATAAATCATATAAGGCTTACATGATTTACTCATGAAAGTGGCCACTTTCTCATTACTTTCATAAATTTTTTTAGTAAGTATACAAAACATACAAGTTTCATTGTATAATTCTTCAAGGGATCTTATGTGTTTTCACTCTTGTATGCTTTTCATACAAGTTTCATACAAGACAGATAAAAACTTTATAAGATTTATATATATCGTTTCCATATGGGAAGCACCCTCCCTAGGCCTGTTTCCTTAGTGTTTCTGTGACAAGGGTCGTCTGATTTCTTCTTTGTCTGGTTCCTCACCCACAGCCAAATTGCCTACCAGTGGGCAAAAGCCCCCTGAAAACATTTACACTGTCAGATTTCTTCCCTTTTTTACTTGTGATTGCAATGATTTCATCTGGTTGCCCAGAAACTAATAGATTATTCAATCTTTTTAGTATATGTGATATTGTTTTTAATTGTGCTTTAACAGTCACATCAATTTTAAATAGTTTACCAAAGTGTTGTGTGTCAAATATAACAGACAGTGATATCAGTATTATAACTCCTCCTACATTAGAGTTCCTCTAAATGACTGTCTTAAGTTTGAGCATTCACTCTGTGCATTCTGCATTTTAGTTTCAACAACTCCTTCAGCACTTTCAGGAGAAGTAACAGCTCATTTGAGTAGTCACACTGAAACAGAAAAAATCACACTTAAGTTTATTTTTTTCATGGGAGTAACACAATGGACTGGATCATCAGTGCTATGCTGTTCTTGTCAGGCAAGTTTGTGCCTTCTCATTTTGTCTTTCAAAATTGTGGCAACATTTTTCACCCCAAAAAAGATTTTTTGGAGTACTGGTAATACAAATTAGAAGTGAAACTATATCTTCTAGACATACTTTGCTAGTGGCAATTTACTTATTTCTTATTTGAATTTCATCCTCTGTAAACAAAGCTACCTGCAGAAATGTGTGTTTGAAACCATAATGACCACAGTAAGGCTGTCCTGACAAAAGGTTGACAGCATGTTATAATGATGAGCAATATTTTTTTTATTACATTTATATTTCTCACTGTAAATGTTTCACTGTTGAACAATGTAAGATGCAAGAAGCCAGGAACAATGCAAAGTTAGCACCATATTATATGATTATTTAGAGAAAGATGTGTCAGGTCATGCCCAAAAAAGTGTAATTTTGTTTGCTGGTAACTGAAATGACAGTCCCTTTTGATTTTTTTCTGTATCCTAATCATGTGACAAAGTATTTGCTACTCTGTATTGTTTGAATATCCCAAAAAATCACAGTTTGCTGATTTTAATTTAAATTTTGGATTTGTAGAGTTGTAATACAAACCTCAGACATTTTCTGTGTTAAGCGTGTGTGTGTGTGTGATATAAACTGATGAATCTGACATAGTTGAGGAGGACAGGATGTATGTGCACAATGGCGTGATTGTCCATTCAGTTCCTTTTTTTCAGTACTGTAAAAGGGCAAATGTATACACTATTATAATGATCAGTTTTCATACTGTGTACGTATGTATGTGCATCATACTGTTTAAATACCTAATAATTAGTTTGAGCGATCTCGTTCTTTCGGTCACTACCCACACTTCGTGACCACAGGTGAGGGAAGGGGTGTAGTTCGACCGGTAAATTGGGAGCTTCGCTTTTACGCTCAGCTCTCTCTTCACCACAACAGAATGGTATAGCGTCCACATGACTGCAGTTTCAGCATCAATCAATCTGTCGATCTCCGGCTCCCTTCTCCTATCACTCGTGAACAAGACCCCGAGATACTTAAACTCCTCCACCTGGGGCAGGAACTCATCTCTAACCTGGAGTGGGCACTCCACCCTTTTCCGTCCGAGAACCGTGGCCTCAGATTTGGAGGTGCTGATCCTCATTCCTGCTGCTTCACACTCGGCTGCAAACTGTTCCATTGTGAGCTGGAGGCCTTCACCCGATGAAGCCAACAGAACCACATCACCTGCAAAAAGCAGAGATGAGATTCTGTGGCCACCAAAGTGAAAGCCCTACGCCACTTGGCTGCGCCTAGAAATCCTGTTTATAAAAGTTATTAACAGAATTGGTGACAAAGGGCAGCCCTGGCAGAGCCGATCACCCACCGGCAATGAGTCCGACCTATTGCCGGCTATGCAAACCAAGCTCTTGCAACGGCTGTATAGGGATCGAATGGCCCGTAGCAATGGGCCAGACATCTCATACTCCCGCAGCACCTCCCACAGGACACCGCGAGGGACACGGTCGAATGCCTTCTCCAAGTCCACAAAACACATGTAGACTGGTCGAGCAAACTCACATGCACCCTCAAGTATCCTCGAGAGGATAAAGAGCTGGTCCAGTGTTCCGTGACCAGGATAAAAACCGCATTGTTCCTCCTGTATTCGAGGTACGACTAACAGACGGACTCTCCTTCCAGCACCCTGGCATAGACTTTCCCAGGGAGGCTGAGGAGTGTGATCCCCCTGTAATTAATTTAGTAATTAAAGAAACACAGAAGGCTGAGCTGTTGAAATAAATCACATTATCATTCCATAATAAGCTTTAATGATGTTTTTCTTTCTTTAATTATCAGTGTTAAATGCTGCACTTAGTTTCAATATTGATCCCGTGGCTTGGAAGACCCTGAGGAACTCTGCTGCTGGTTTTGGCTACCAGGTGGTTCAAAGACAATCCGAGTAAGCCAGAGCATAGATATGTTTAATATGGGTTTACAATTGCCTGCTTATAACATTCACCACTAATGCTTAACAGCTGGAGGTTTTTCACTGCACTTTGCTCACCAAATGTTATCTAATGTCTGGATTTCTCTCCTTAGTTTGCTTGTCAGTGCCCCACTTGAACAGTATTCACAAAACAGAAAGGGGAGAATATACAGGTGTACCATCTCTGGTGAAAACTGCCTAAATATACAATTTCGAGGTAGGTAGTTTCTTGATGTCTTAACACAATATCCTGAAACTCTGACAGTATCTTTCAAGTATTGAGATCTTGGAATATGACATTAATTAGATTAATTTGCAGATAAGGTGGATTTCTAGAGAAAAAAACTGAAATGTGCAAGTTTGTAATGCATTGTTAAGTATTTGCCATTTCATGATATAACAAAACTCTTAATTGAATGTAATTGTTTGTTTAATTAATTCTTGCTAAAAGTTATTTATTTTTTGTTGATTTTCAGACACAGTAATAGTGAACTTTGATTAGTGTATTTTGCATTCTTTCCCTTTGTAATGTGGTACGAAAAGTGGCAGTCATTTAAATAAAATGTATTTTCTAGTGACCCCAACATTTATTTTATGAGTGTTTTAATATATACTCAATGCTTTAAATACAGAGCCAGAATTTGCTATCAACATGTCTTTTGGTTTGACAATGAAAAGTGATCCTGGAACCCAAAATGCTGTGGTGAGTTGGTGAACTGCAGACGTGTCACACTGGAATGGAAGAATAATCAGCATGCTTGATTCATCATAATTTGATCTTTTCTCTTTTGAGGCATGTGGTCCAACTATTCCAAAGGACTGCAAAAGTATCACCATGTACAGTGGAGTATGCTTTCAAATAAACCGTTCCAATAGATTTGAGCGTCCCATACCACCTTCTGTCAAAGGTAACAGGATACTAAGTTTGTGAAAACAAGCTCATAATAATAATAGAATCTATAAATACTTATGTCACTGCACATTCACACAATTAATCGCTGTGACCCAATAACCTAATACATTTTAAACAGTCTGAAGCTCATTTATTACAGTTATTGTGCTTTTTTAAATATTTTTTTAAATTAGTTTTAATTATGTTTTGAATTTTCAATTCAGTTTCATTTTACCCCCCAGAGTCACTTTAATAGGTTGAGATTAGTTTTTATTGCTTTAAGTAGTAATTTTTGACTTTTTAATTATTAGGATTTTAGCTTGGGTAAGATTTAAGAGTTTCAGAAATCATATTACAACACAAACATAATTTATGAAGGCAGTTGACTCCCAGTTATATAAACATCCCAAGTCACAAATAAGCGTGCACCAAAGATTCAAATGGCAAATGGGACCAAAGTGTGAATCTTCCTAACAAAGAAAGGCCACTTAAAGTTGCTCAACACTACATTTTGTACCCATCTTTTTGGCAGAATGCCTGCTGCAAGCAGACATTGCCTTTCTGTTGGATGGTTCAGGGAGTGTATATAGCGAAGATTTTCAAACAATGAAGACCTTTGTGAAAAATCTGGTTCGGTCTTTTCTCTCAAGTGATACAAAGGTGAGGAACAGACATTAAATATTTATTTATTTCCATAATTGATGGAATGATTGATTTTCGGTACTTTTTTTCTTTTCAAGTTTTCTGTTTCCCAGTTCTCTACTTCATCAAAGGTCCATTACTATTTTGATAATTTTTTCTCATCTGGATCATGGGAATCTAACATTGATAGAATAAAACAACTAGACCAAGCAACTTACACAGCTGAGGCCATCGAACATGTTGTGTAAGTGCTGCCATGATGTTACACATCTTTCACAGTTAATGAAGTATGTCAGAGGTTAGAGATAACTTGTAGAGCTTTATTTTATTTTATTTTTTAAACATAATTCTTTGTTATATTAGTGAAAATACTGTAAAAAAAAAGGCATCATGATTTTTATGTAAGCAGTTCTCTTCAACATCTAAAACATCGAAACGATGCACTGTAAAGAAAGATGAACTGAAACTTTTTTTCTTTATTTTATCAGCCAAAATGTTTTTACACCACAAAGAGGATCCAGATCAAATGCAAAGAAGGTGCTGATAGTTATTACTGATGGAGAATCTCATGACTCACATCGCTTACCATATGTAGCAAGGCTAGCTGAGAGTAAAAAGATTGTTCGATTTGCTATTGGGGTAAGTACCTGCTCAGTTTTACACTGTACCAGTTTCTTCAAAAGGTTAATCCTTTCAATGACCTTGTAAAGTTAACCTAATTTTCTGACTCTAATGAAATGAGGCACCATTCTTCATGAGGAGGACTGTGTGGGTGCTTGTAAAGTAAAAGCTGTGTGTGTCTGTTTCTAGGTGGGGAATGCATTTAATAAACCTGCTGCAGAACAGGAGCTGAAAACCATTGCATCGTCTCCGTCAGACAAACACATATTTCAAGTTAGGGACTTCAACGCCCTTGAAATAATAAGACAGAATTTACAGGACAACATTTTCTCTATCGAAGGTACAAACATTAAAAAAATGTTACAACCTTGTTAAAATTTCTGTAAACATTCCAGCTATAAAAATGAAAGCAACTGAAGCCACCTGCAGTAAAGGCCTGAGAGATGTTCACCTTTTTTATCTCTTTACATTAGTGTGTTAAACAATACATAAATGACATATTTTTAATAAAGAGCAAGTGATTATCTAGAATAAGTCCTTCGGGTCGTGAACAAATTGAAATTACACAGTCTGTCCTTTAAGTTCTTTTCATGTTACAGGATCACAAACCAGTGGAGAGTCACTGAAAATGGAAATGTCTCAAGAGGGATTCAGTGCAGTTTATGTGCCTGAGGTAATTTAAAACACTTTAAACTCAGATAACTAAACTTAAACTCCAAATTTAAATGCACTGTATAAAACATTCACACATTTATTTTTCTGTACATTTCTGTCTGCACTGTAGGGAATTCAGATGTCTATTGTTGGTGCAAACCAGTGGAAGGGAGGCTACATGCAATACACAACAGGAGGCCAGAAGGTGAAAACATATGAGGACGTGTCTTTGGAGCCTGACAGTTATCTTGGTAACAACTAACACATAAACATGTGATCATGTAGTATATACATAGCTGTGCTGTAATTCTTTCCCCCAATCAGTTTGGAAAATAGACAACATATAAAGGATGAGTAAGGATTCCAAAGGCTGAGGAAGAGTATGCTTTAACCTGTTAGCAGTCGGACGTACCGCCCACGGTACATTGGATGGTTTAGGGGACTAATTGTAAATTTGTAGGACTGCTAAGGGGTTAATTAGGTGTTTAATGTTAGTCATGTTGTTTTTGATTGTGCTTTATGTCACATAAAATATGAAATACCACAAATGACAACATTTCAAGAAAAAACATCTTCCATGCACCTTAAATATTAATGAAAATATTTATAAATTCTCTGTATGACTATATTTGACTATTTTTTACTATTTTAACTCAAGACTGCTTGACTATTAAATTCTAGGTTACTCCATGGCAATTGCTAAATCCTGGAGTGGCTCAGTGACAGTTGTTGGTGCTCCAAGATATAAACACAGAGGAGTTGTGTTTGCTGTTAACAGAGAAAGCTTTAGAAATCAAAAGATTGAGCCCTTTCCATGGCAGGTACGTATGTACAGTATAAAGTGATCGACCTGAATGACAATGTAAAATATATTTAGACTATATATAAACAAAACTGTACTATTTTCATTTATCTGATTCTTTTCATTTAATAATTTGTTCCTTACACAGTATCAGACTGGTGAGTATTTTGGGGCAGAGGTGTGTACCATGGACATAAATAATGATGACATCACTGAGCTAATCTTCATATCAGCCCCAATGTACATGGAGCCTGATAGAGAGGGAAGAGTTTATGTTTGCAGACTAACTGGTTTGGTAAATCACGGTTTTATTTACTGCAGTTAAATTAATCGGTTTATTTGTCAACTTTCTTAATGTTTATATAATGTTCACTCTCCTCCTTTCAGTTTGTGGAGTGTAATTTTGATGATCCGTTAGTGCTAAGAGGACATGCAGCTGTCAAAGGAAGGTTCGGCTCTTCTCTTGCTGTGCTGCCTGATATAAACTCAGATGGATTCAGGGATTTGGCAGTTGGAGCACCTTTGGAGAATAGTGGTGAAGGCAGCATCTACATATTTAATGGCGAAGGAGGAGGAAGAATCAGTCCTACTTACTCACAGGTACACAACATCAAAGTACTCACGAGGATGACTAAACTAATCTGTAATGTAAAGTCATTTTCTGCAGTTTGAATATTGAATATTTTCATGTACACAGAGAATTACTGGCTCTGAGGTCCAGTCAGGACTGAAGTTCTTTGGCCTGACAATCAGTCAGTCGTCTTTTGACCACAGTTTTGACGGACTGCCTGACTTAGCGGTGGGCTCAAAGGGCAAAGTTGTTTTATTGAGGTAAGTCCAAGACAGTCCAATCATGCATTATTAATGTCCATGTTTAATTCTATTAACTATTTCTGTTAAATAAAAGAAATGAATGCCCCCACTGGTTAAAGGTTTAAATTATTACAATAATTTATGCCATTTCTAGACACTTTGATATAAACTATTAGATAAAAACAAATTATCTTTTCTTTCAAAAATGATTTTGCATGATCAAAAACTTTTAAGCAGTAGTGGTTTGTAAAAAATGCAGTGTGGTATTTTCCTGTGATGTTCATTTGCAGATCAAGACCCATAGTAATGGTGAAAGCTGAGGTGTCATTCAACCCAAACCAAATCCCTACTCAGAATGAAGGCTGTTCAAAACCATTGGAGAACACAGCTACAGTCTGCTTCACCATGAGCAGAGTGTCTGCAGTCCACACAGGTTCATCATTCTACTCTACATCATTCAACAACAAAGCCACTGCCCATCATTTGTAGCATTGAATCCAAACTGTGTTTTATTCCAGCTCAAGCAGTGATTAATTATACTATAACACTGGATGCCACACGTAAACCTCCAAACAACCGAGCTTATGTCAGTGGGAAACAACAAGAACGATCTGGATCAGTAATTGTGGTCTTAAGAAGACAACAGTGTTCAACTCTAAGGTTACTTATTGAGGTAAAAATCTAATAATATCAGGAAAAACAACAAACAAACAAAAAAAAACCCCAATGCAAACAATCAAAAGTTCAGTTCAGAGAGTCCTACAACACTGAATACAAACCAAATTGCTCTTTTTTTGCAGGCCTGTCCAGAAGATGCTCTTAGTGCTCTTTCCAATGAACTCAAATTCACGTTTAATGGTTTGTCCATCAACAGAAATCCCAGACCAAGTCTTTCCTCACAGGCTCAAACAACAACCATTTATCCTGTAAGTAATATTTAAACACAGTGTATTAACAAACAAGAAAACAACTTAAGTCTTTCCCTTCCTGTGTGTAAGGCCACTGAACGTCTTTTTAGTTCCAGAAAAAATTTCTGTCATCCAAAAGGATTTACAGCATCTGATGGGGAAAACAAAGACTAAAGGCCTTTACAAACTGAACATGTAAAATCCATGCAAACATTTTGTGCATTAAAACATTTTTCGAAATCACTGATTCTTAATGTAGATGTTCACGGCGACCTTTTGTTGGACAAATTTGCAGCTTTTATTTTATTTTAAATCAAGCTCAATATCTTGGGCGTAAATACAAAGATCTAACTAACAGTTGTTTTTTGAATACAAATGTTGTGCAAAAAACACATTCCTTTTTTATAATGCGCTCCCTATATAATGGCCTTAAGAGTGAAACAAAGTTTGAAACAAAGAGTGGGTCAAGGTGTTATTCCTGTAAGAGTCACTAGCCCACCAGCTATCATGTGAGCTAAGGCAGCGGTCCCCTACCTTTCTTGCGCCACAGACCAGTTAATGTGTGACAATATTTTCACGGACCGGCCTTTAAGGTGTCGCGGATGAAAAGAACAAAGTAAACAAAGTAGTCCAACATCCCAAGATTAGCTGGATTTAAGCAGACTTCAAAGAATTATAACAAGAATAAGTGATCAGCTGTTGTATTTCCAGCTCTCTATGTCCACCAAGGAGCACAGTAAAAGGCTTTAATGTTTAAGTAATCATTTTATTTCCCTTCTGCCACCAGAAAGAAAATTACTATTGGATATTAATGTATGGCTAATTGTACTGCCAGTCAAAGACTAATGCAGTAGTAACAAAAAGCAATTTAAAAAAGAGCTCAAAATACACAATTCTTAACTTAGAATGATAGCTTGTGTCTGAGATCAAAGTTGTCCAGATGTGAATCAAGAATATTATCAGAAATTGTTTTCTTCCCTGCAAAAAACCTCCACGAGATGGTAGAATGAAAAAAATTGGTTGTTGGATTCCCTAATCCAACAACCAATTTGTGTGCTAATTGGAATAAGTCATTCATCATTTAAATATGTTTTCCAAAATGCTCTCTTCCACAGTTAGGGTTTGACATCAACTGTGGCACTGACAACAAATGTGTTGATAACCTTAAAGTGGATTTTACGTTCACCAGGTGAGGCTCATGTATAGGGCTTTGTTTTGCTTGTGCTTGTATTCCTTTTCCTTTATTCTCATCCTCCTTAATACTCTGACAGATCCTCAGAGGTTAAAGTGGGCATTGATGAGCTTTTAGATGTCACAGTCACAGTGGAGAACAGAGGAGAAAACTCCTACAACAGTCGTGTTATTCTCACGTACCCAGCTGGACTCTCCTACAGGAAGTTCACCATTCAGCAGGTAAGGCATCAGGATCAAGTCTGTATCAGTTCATCACTGATCTGCTGCTCTTCCAATACATCCAGCAGTAATTTTATTTTTATAATAAAGGGAAGAATTGGGTGCAACTCTTTGGACAGTGAAGATGGTTTATCACGAGGAAGGACAGACTGCACTATCCACAAACCAATTTTCAAGAGCAAAACTAAGGTGTTTTTGCTTAGAACATCTTTCTCTCACTTCTTTATAGTTTTGTTTACAGCAAAAAGAGATGATGCAATTTGATATGTCTCCTCCATTCAATTAAGGCTTCCTTCATTGTCTCCTATGGGATTGACACCAACAGTCAACTTGAGAGGAAGCTCTTTGTCACTGCAAATGCCACCAGGTACTGTTCCTTTGGTATATTTTTGTATAGTCCCACAGATAAAATATGAATCATTTCACTTCTTCATTTCAGTGGAAATCAGGAGCATGCCACTACAAATGAACTCTATAAAAATAAATCGATTGATGTGAGATATAGCATTTTTATGACATTTGAAAGGTATGGGTTCTTCCACTTGAAATAAAAAGCATCGTTTAGAAATTAACAAATGTTGTATTACATGGTATTTATTTAATTTTTTAAATATGTCTGTTTAGCTCTCTCAGCTACAACAATTTCACATTTGGGAGGAGTGATTTGCAGAAACCAGTCCAGCAATCAATTAAGGTCAAAATATAAGTTCTGTATAAATCTATATATGTGTATTTATATGTTCTGTATAATCTAAATCTAATTGTAATGCTTGGTTGTCCTTTTCTTTATCAGATTACAAATGCTATCAGAGCCCTTAATTTCACTGTGGTGATCAGGATTCCAGTGAAGCTTGGTAAAAAAGACATTTGGGTGAATTTGATCAGTCTACAGGTATTGTGCAAAAGTCTTGAGTCACCCATCATTTCTAAATGGATGAATGGATGTGGTATAATTGGGACAAAACCAAGCATACCTGAATTAAATGTATTTCAGATTGCAGACTGTCAGAGAGGAATTGACGAAGAACCACCTGTCAAAACTTTTGTTTCTCAGATCATAAAAAATAAGGTGGTTGTAAGTATACCTCTGCACTGGAGCTTTTGAAATTCAGCCTCTTTTAGATTTTAACATTCACCTCACCTATCTCAAATTCAGCTATCACAGTTTTTGTTGGATTCAGTCTTGTTTAAATCATTCTCAGGACTGCTCTGTAGCCAAGTGCAGAGTGTTCAAGTGCAACACTTTCATGGGAATACGGGAGAGTAGGATGTATGAAATCTCTGCCAACCTCAGTTCAGGATGGATAGAGCAGGTAATGGATGGGTAGTTTATGTTAAATTAATGTGTTTTGGATTGTTTGCTAAATGTTTAGATACATAACTATTTACCTCTTAAATCAAACAATATCTAATTTAGGGTCAACTCGTGATGTATTTTTTTCCCTTAGATTGGGCTTCAGTCTGCCAAATTCCTCTTGACCAGCACTGCCAGTCTGGAGTATGACAAAAACCAATACATCTACTTTTCAGCAGGGTCTGACAACAATCCTCCTGTTCACAAGGTGATTATACAATATTTTCTTTTGTTTGGCACATTAAGAGCTTTAATTTTATTCACATTCTGTCACTTCATCTGTCAGATTGAGGCAGAAGTAGAAGTGTATCCTAAGCTGAATTTCACCAAAGCGATCATTGGAGGATCCCTGGGAGGGTTGGCTTTTCTAGCTTTACTCACCGCTAGCCTGTATAAGGTGAAAGACTCTTTTTATACTTTTTTCAATTTAAAAGTTTACAAGTTTTTTTTTTCTCATTTTTTCTCAGCTTGGTTACATTTTTATTGGAAC